AGGTTGATCGGCGGTCTGTCGTAAGTGCGAGTGGTCGCAAAACAGGTAAGTCGGTAAGCGGGGAACATCTGTAGAAAACCTAGTAGCGTTAATTTCCATTTCATATTTTTTATTAGCATTTTTGTAAATACAGAAAACCGGATACAGAAGGTAAAAGCAGTCAAGACATAAAACATACAGAAATAAGCAAGTTGGTATACATAACCCATACCATAGGGATAGTCACAGCTTGGAGAAACAATATAAAGTGAAGGACATGTTGAAAGCCTCAATACTAGACATTAATGAACAAATTAAGCTACACCATCTACTCGGGAAAGCAAATAGGCACATCTGCAGTACGAAATGATAACCACTTGGACTAGGGATGTTCAGATACCAGTGCAGATACTTGGCATTTTCATGAGAATTACCAGGGTTGCAGCGGTTGCAGCTGGGCCCTAGCTCTGGCACTCCACCACTGTCCTGAAATCATTAGTCTGTATTGTTTGAGAAAAACTGTCACATGACAATAAACAAAAATGTATCAGTACTCGTATCTGTGAGGACTTGGACATGTATCAGTATTTGTACTTGAAAATGTTTTATTGGTGCATCCCTAATATATACTGTATTTATATAAAACAAAGCATACATTAAAACAGAGATGTACAAATCCCGGAGAGCTCTGCATACTCCTTACAAATGACAGCTGCCTCCTAGCTTTTGAATTTTTCTCTAGTCTAGTCTTGGAGCTGTACATGTACTCGTAACGAGTATGGTACTTGGTATCTGAACATCCCTAACTTGGACCATATCGAGTAGAACTTATGTATAGAACCCCGGATTGATAAGTGATGCGTTCAAATGAAATAATTCTATCAAGTTCCACTATCCAAGCAGAAACCTTAGGAGGGAAGGGCGAGATCCATTTACGCACAATGAGGTGAGTGGCCGTAAACAACGCTCTTTTAAGAGCCAATAGTATAGGGGAATCCAAATCTGGGTGATCGAAGACACCCAGAAAGCAGGGAAGGGGAGGGGGAGTCAATGAAATGTCAAAAACAGAACTGAGAGTACGACCTTTTGCCAATAGCGTACCAGTTTAGGGCATCGCCACAGTAAGTGAATAAGGGAGCCCCGGTGGAAACCATACTTAGGACACAAGGAGTCATCTCTGTAGCCTATCTTAAATAGGAACTCAGGAGTGCGATATATCCTATGTACCACAAATAATTGTGCCAGTTTGTGAGTAACGGAGAGGGAAACCTGTGAAACATTTTCCAGAACATTGTTCCAGATATCATCAGTTATAGGACCAGTGGCGTCCCGAGGCTGGGTGTCACCCGGGGTCGGAGAACCGCTGACACCCCGCCGTGACGTCCTCACGTGATTATGTCATTGCGCATGCGCACTGGTCTTTTTGGGCCCTGCCGGCGGCCATCTTGGTGATGGACGCCAGCAGAGAGAGGAAGGGACGTTCCCTCCTCTCTCCTGACACTGTCGGGCTCTCGGTCCATGACCAAGTGCCCGACAGTTCATAGGGGGTGACACCCTGCAATGGTGGCACCCGGGTGCGTGCCGCACTCCCCTTGTGATCCCACTGTATAGGACCCAAATCACTCTCCCAGCCTTTTCTGCAGGGCAACGGACACTGAGGCAGTGATTTAAGCAAAAAATTAGAATACAGAAAGGAAATCGGCCCTTTAGTATGCTCAGAGGAGAATAATGTGTCAAGAACTGGAGTAAAGAAAAATTTAGGGGCCACACAAGAAAACTGTGAGTGTAGCGCATGACGTATCTGGAGAAACCCCAAAATGCTATTTTTATGTAATTGTAATTTAGATTGTAAGTATTGAAAGGAGCAAAGCACACCGTCCTTGTATATCTGATCGACAGTATATATCCCCGCTCGACACCAAGCATTCTCTGCATTAAGGAAAAAAATGCCCCGCTACTTTTCCATGCCCCCCACCTCCACTTACCTTATACTCCACGTTCACTGCCACTGTCTCCCAGACGAGCTGCAATGTGTCCCCAAAGTTCTCGGTTGAGAGGAGGGATCCAGAGGCCACTGAGGGAAGGGCAGTGACAGGCTCCTGCAGCTGCCTGTGATCTGTTGCTGCCTACTATGAGTAGGCAGGAACATGAGCGTGGCTTGTGATACACAAATAAGATTAATTTCTTTAAGACATTTTGAATACATAATAGCATACATTGATGTATCCATACATCATACTCTGAATATATATATATGAAAGGGTTAAAAAAGGTTTGCCCGGAGTTCTTTAAATCATTCCTACTACTAGAAACAGCACTTGAATTATAAGGAGGGGGGGGGACACAGCTTCTAATCACTTCTGTGCAACCAAGAACATCCACGCACCCCACAGGCAATAGAAGAGACATTTGTACCCGCCCCCTACACGGGGGGGTTAGTGTCATAGGGGGCGTCTGCTCCCTCCTCGTACTGCCGAGACTTTACTCCAATTCGTCCCTTGACCTAGTGTCAGGCGCCTGCGAACGCTTTTTTAATTTTTCATTTTGTGGGCATGCGCTGATGGGCTCCAGTTGTGGCGCAGGCGCAATACGGGAGCGGCTACGTCAACGCCAGGCCGTGACGTATGTTGTAGGCGTGGCGGGCAGGCAGACAGGCAGGCTCGGAGACAAATATAAGGAAGCCCCGCTTTGAACCACGGCGGCCATTGCAAGCAGGTGGTGCTGTCTTCTTGGCTGTTCAAACACAGTTCTCCGTTATATGAGGCGAGTAATGTTTATCTGTATTATGAAACCACTTCGGTCACCATTCGAGTTAAAGATGGTACTATTCGGCCGGATTCGTTTCTGGCTCTACAGACTGTATAGTGATTTAAAGAACTGAGGGCAAAGCTTGTATTAACCCTTGCAGTGGGGCCACCTCCTAAGCATCTAGAAAGAAATTAGCAATTAACTATTGCAGTGCTGGGTGAGATTGCAATAGTTAACCTTTATTTAGGTGCTGAAAATAAAAAAAGTTATGCTTCCTGAACACCTGAGCTGGCTCCCTGCTTCTCTGGTCCCTGAAGCATCTCTCCCTCCCAGTATGCTATAGCATTGGAATGTGACTCAGCGTTCTCAGGTCCATACACTGTATAGAATGTGCTGCTTTAGGGACCTTAGGGAATGCTGCAGAGGAGGAGAAGAGATGCTGGGGGGGGGAGAGCAAGCTGGCTCCATGTTTCAGGTGAGTATTACTTTTTTTTTTAGCACCTAGACAAAAATGAGCAGTTAAAATAATAAACTCTGGAGTTAAATCTTGAAAATACATTTAAGTACCTTTTTAACTATTAACAGAAACATATGGAAAGTGACACTGAATGCAGGAAATGATGTAATATACATCACTTCCTGCATTCTGGGACTGGAGAGTAGATCAAAGGGAGATTGTGTACTGATCTCCTGTCACAGAGCTGTGCCGGTGTTGGCCGCATCGGGCACAGCGGATCTCGGGACCGTCAGTGACAGCTGCTGGTAATACAAGCGATCGGGCGTCTCGAGACGGGCTCCGCCGTCCTCTTGTCGCGGATGAGGGTTTTTTTCAAGCCCTGCAAATAAGATATATTTATGTTAATAGTTGGTAATCAAATTGTGTGTATATTGGTTTTCAGAGTATGATGTATTGATACTCACAGTACACAGTGCTCACAGAATGCATAATTTTATGCATTCAAAAGTAGGGATGCACCGATGTATCGGCCGCAAAAACATATCGGCTGAAAATGGCACTTTTGGCAAAATGCGGGGGGGACAGAAACTGTCACAGGAGGCCGAGTGCTGCAGGAGGACAGCGCTGTGAGCGGCCAGCATCTCTCCTACCCGCTCCTGTCACAGATCAGGAGAGCAGCGGTGTGGGTGCAGACAGCCATTGCTGTCACAGGAGGCTGGGCTCACCTCCCCCGCCCAGCCTCCTTGACAGCCAATCCAGGATGGAGACCGGTGGTGTGGGCGGAGCCAGCTGTCATTGTGGTCACAGGAGGCTGAGCTCTCCTCCCACACCGCCCTGCCCAGCTTTCTGTGACAGCTGTCAGGATGAAGAGCAGGTACAAACACTCAGCTTTCAGTGCTTCAACTGACCTTTCTGACTCTCCTACTGTGCAGGATCATGTAGTTTGAAATCCCCTTCCTCTCTCCTCATCCATTCATAAAATGCCTAGCATTTTGTTCACAGAATACAAGCTGTTCTTTGAATAGACAAAGAGAGAGGTGGGATGGGATAACAGGCGTTCACCTTGTACATTCACAGCAGAACACATTGTAGTTTGTGAACAGAACACTAGGGGGGGAATTTAGCAAAACTGGAGCAGATTTGCACTGCAACCAATCAGCTTCTCTGTTTCATTTTCAAATCTTACCTGAGCAAACTGAAGAGAGATGCTGATGGTTGCCAATCTCTCCAATAGCCACAACAAGAATAGAGGAAATCATTACAAAAAGAGGGAAATTGCTGGTGATCAGCAGGGTCATCAGAACTAGTGTCCCCATTGGAAAAGTTCCTGTCTATTCTTGTACTGGTGGCAACACAAACATTTTGGTTCTTTCACTTGTAGCAATCATGAGGACAATGGAGAGGGTGAATCTTCCCAGTGGGGACACAAGCAACAATACAAACATGATACGTGATATAATCCCTTTACTCTATGCAAAATTAAAAAAAGTTTTGGCTTTAGATATCTATAAATTATCTTTTAACTTACCCTGTATTCCTCATCAAAAATCATATGCTCCCTTGTCCTTGCTCCTGACAGATCTTTCTGTCCACTGGGAGCGGTAGAGTTGCTTTTGCAAAATGGCCAGGCAGCCTTTTTTTTTTCTGCACATGGGCAGAAAAATATCCATTTGAGCCTGTGGGAGCAGCTGTCTAGTATGTATCACAATGTTGGATGGCTTCTTTGTAGAAATGAATGAAGAAGCTGCCCATCTGAAAGACTTTGTATCAGCAAGCTGCATAGAAAAATCTGTTAAACCTTTTCATCTTTAGGCTGTGAAGTCGAAGGTTGTGTCCCACCATCTGTAAACAAAGAAACATGGCTGCACACTCATTAGGCTCTCGACCTCGAACAGGAGATGTTCTTCAAGCTACAGGAGAGACTCAGGATTTTAAAACTCTGCTGTTGTCACGGCCTGTACTTGAAGGCTTGGAGGCTGCAGGATTTACCAAACCATCTCCAGTACAGAGCAAGGCTATACCACTTGGGCGATGTGGACTGGGTGAGTAAAGGCTTGTAGACGTTGAAAATAAACTTCTAGTGGATGAAAGTTTTGAGGTATACAGACATGGACACATTTTGGTGGTACCCCTGCTACTCATTGAAACAATGCTTCGTGCCTCCTGAAAAGTGATCAAATTAATAGTCTTGTGTATACCTGTATGCCTTTAGTATGTCAGAGTAAAGCAAGGACAGTGTGAAAAAAGCGAAATCGGTCCTTATCGTACAAATATATTCTAAAATGACCCGGGCAAATTTGTTGGTACTCCTAGAAAAGAATATAAATAATTGAATGCTAGTGATGCATCGAATCAACTGCTTTCTGTAATTAGTATTGCTCATGTCTTAAGTCTTGTCAGTTAAATTGAGAAAAGTAGTCACTTATGTTTGGAATCGTGTTCATCACACTAACCATGGACCAGTGAAAGCAAAGGAGACAGTTGTCTGAGGGATCAGAAAGAAAATGATAGACCAGCATGTCAAAGGTAGAGGCTACAAGACCATCCCCAGGCAGCTTGATGTTTCTGTGAATGCAGCTGCAAATATAATAGGTTTAAATCCATGGGATTGTAGCCATCCTCCCTGGACATGGCCACTAGAGGAAAATCAACCCTAGATTGATCATTGGTTTGAATTGTATACAAAGAGCGAGGAGACTCAAGCGGAACTCCAAGGTCAAGGTACATCAGTATCTGATTGCAGCATTAGTCGCTTTTTGAGCGACCGTTGGCTCAAAGGAACAAGACCCAGGAGGAAACAAAAGCCTAAACAATCCTGACTGGAATTTGCTAAAATACATAATGACAGGCCACAGTGCTTCTGGGGAAATCTCCTTTGGACTGATGAGATGTTCATAGATGGAAAAATAAAATGAAGCTTTCAAAGAAACTCATGGTACCTACTGTAAATGTAGTAGGATCTGTTATGTTATGAGGCTGTTTTTCTGTATCTGGCATGGGGTGTCCTTATTCTACAAAGAGCGCAATTCTCAAGACTTTCAAGGAATTCAGAAGTGAAACATTCTGCACAGTGTCAGAAGCTCAGTTGCAGGTCATGGGTCCTTAAGCCTCAAAACACAACTAAAAGTACCCAAGAATGGCTACAAATAAAACCTTGGACTATTCTGAGGTGGCCTTCTATGAGCCCTGATTTTAATTCTATTTAACATCTATAGAAAGAGCTGAAACATGCAATCTTGGGGAAGGCACTGTTCAAGTCAGCTGGAGCAGTTTGCTCAAAAAGAGTGGGCCAAACTGCCTGTTGGCAGAGGCATACATCTCTGAGAGTTGCAAAAATAGCTTTTTTTGCAGTGATTGCTTAAATGAGGGTCCCATCATTTTTGTCTATGCCATTTCTATTAGTTTGTTTTTATTTCAGCAGAAAAATGTAAATAAAAGCCCGATTTTTATTATATATAGAATAAACAACGGATGGCAATTACTTTGGTCAGTTTCCAGTAGTTTTTGAGAAATGTTGGCTTTTTCATGGAAGAGTACCAACAGATTTGTCCACATATGTATTTTAAGGCTCTGTGAGTGCCCAAAATGACATTTTGCATAATTAGCCTGCAGTTACAGTTCATCTGTAAACAAGGGGTTGAGGAGGACTAAGGAATAAACACAACTATTCAAATACCAACCGCATTCAAAATGAATGGAGTGCCTTCAGGCAATGGATGTTACTGCATGGCACAGCATGTGTTAACACAATACACAAAATGGCAAAGTTGTGTTTCCTTCTATTCCCAGAAGTACTGGGTATTTCTTGGCTTTGGCAGTGGAGGAGAATAGGAAAGGTAACTACTAAAATGCCTATTATGCTTGTTCTAGAATTTAATTAATTGTGCTTTTTTTTTTTAATGGGAGATGTAAAAGTTGGCTTAAAAATTTGATTATGGAAATAAATGAAAAATTTCAAATGAGAGTTAGAAACACAAAATTTCCATTTGCTGCTTTTCATATCTGAATGGTATAATAAATACTAACTTTTTTTATTATTTTTGTTTACGGAATTGTAGATTTGATAGTACAGGCCAAGTCAGGGACAGGAAAAACGTGCGTCTTCACCACGGTGGCTTTAGATTCTCTAATTCTGGAAAACACTGCTACTCAGGTATATTTTTAGTTTTCCTGCACATTTATTGTAAATGCTGTATTTTATCTATCGTTAATATTTGTTTAATGAGTGTCCTTTGTGTTTTAGATCCTGGTTTTGGCCCCTACAAGGGAAATTGCAGTTCAGATCCATTCAGTGATTATTACTATAGGTAGCCGTATGGAAGGACTGGAGTGTCATGTCTTTATCGGAGGGACTCCACTGCCTCAGGACAAAGCAAAGCTAAAGAAGTGCCACATAGCTGTAGGCTCTCCTGGTATGGGATTCATAAAATATTCTAAATAGTAGTCTGCATATTTCTTATGTTTGCATTTTTTCCATACAATCTCCACTGTCTGTTTTATTTGAATTCTTCATTTTTGTACTCATCTTTGGACTACTATGTAGTCAACATATTCTCATTGACTTTGGTGAAATAGTGTAGATGACAGTTCAAAAGATGCATTTGACCTGCTTTGCATTTCTGCAGACTCAGTGATGCTTTTGAACAGAAGGTCAAACGCAGGCTTTTCTTGTTAAAAGCTGTATTCCTTTTGAACACGTGTTGATTGCTGTATTTGACGAGCACGCTCTTACATTTACATTAGCCCTTACAGTGCTGCTTTGCAGAAATGAAGGTGTAGAACAAACATAATTACACCTTTGCTTCACATGAAATGGTTGGGCATATTGCATGCACATGGTTCACATATTTAGTGTAAGCAATATTGTGTGTCTCTTAAGGTGCCCATACACCTTACGATTATCGGACGATAATCGTATGCGATCGAGTTTTCGTCCGATAATCGTATGTGTGCATTGCAGTGTCCGACCGACAATACTGTACAATCGTACGACTTTTGACAGTCAAGCATGTTTGAAAACTTTGCTAGATCGTACGATTGTCGTAAGGTTGCTGGCGTTTCCGTCCGTCAAAAGTCATACGATGTACACTGCGCTTGCGCTAACGAAAATACGGCAAATCAATTACCGCATTTCGTCCAGGTCTTTTTGGTTAATTACGGCTAAACGATTCTTGCGATCATCGGGGCAGGATGGGGCTGCCGTACGAAAATCGTACGACTATTCGATCATCGGACGAAAAGTTTCGTCCGATAATCGTAAGGTGTATGGGCACCTTTAGACCAGCGAATAAGCTGTGGTGTATAGTGTGATAGTGATGATCATCGGGATTAAATTTAAAGCATCTCTAAACCCAAAATGAGAAATGTCATATATTGCAGCTTACCAGTTGTTAGATGTGGTGACTGCATTAGTGTTTCAGGCTTTTTTTTTAAATTCACCTGGTGGTCCTTACCATAACACACTTGCTGTCCTTGGGTGGCTACACTCACTCCTCCACTGTCTCTTCCACTATCTATGGAGGGAGCCATGGTTTCCAACAAAGTGGATTAATTCCCCTTTGAGTTTAAATTAATTGTAAATTGACTGATCTTTTTTTAGAGTAGCATAAATATTTTTGTTCAGTGAATTTTCTCTAAGACATGAGCATCAGAATTTTAGAATGTGTTCATTGATGACTGCAATAGATTCTTGGATCATGTGACTTCCTTTATTGCACTGTGATATAATATGTACGAAGACCACATTATGCTACCAATGGGGGTGTTCATGAAAGTGTCTATTTTCATTTGTTTTTCCCAAGTCATCTTCCAGGGCAGCATCTGAGAGAGAGAGAATCCACCCACCCAAACAGGAAACACATCCACAATTAAAATAAAAGGGGCAGTACAGCACCACCACCTCAGTTTTTTGTTTCCTCCGGCCTAACAGGAGCATCTTAACTGTTTGTTATTTTCTCTATAGGCCTGTGTGCTAGTTGCAGGGGCCTCCCAGTGTGTGCTCCCCCGTGAATCAGGGACAGTGGACCTGGGGGGGTTGCATGCCTGGGCTTGTCTGAGGATTAGCCTCCAGGTTATTCTATTATGGGATCCTCCCTCCCCATCTATCCCTGAGGTTTCTTATGCGCCGTGAGGAAAAGCAACCATCCCCGGGTGCATATCTGCTCTAGCAGAGCTTTTCCTTACTCGCATTTGGTTCGGTTCAGATTTCTCTTCTGCCTTGCCTTGAATGGGGCGGTTTGCCATCCATGCTCCCTATGTATGCTGCCATGTTGTGGATATTCATATCCTGTAGCATCCAGGGCCTCCTTGAATGGACAGCTATGCGATGGAGTGGTGAGTACTCCTGGCGCCAGCATCCACAGACGCCAGGGATGGAGTGCAGCATCCACAGACGCCAGGGAGGATCAGTGGGGGGGCCCTTGGGTGGTGATCCTCCTTTTGGGTGTTGGTTGCTGAGGGTTGTAGTGCCTCATATTAACACATGTTTTGTATGTGTTATATGGCGTTCCACCAGTGATGTGGCTAGTTGGAGGCATGAGCTGCAGTGTAAACACCTTTTCAATCTGCAAGTAGCAACCCCCAACAATAAGCAACCTAATTACTCCTTCCTACACTGCTGGGGTTAGTGTTACACAGGAGTATTGGATATTTTTCCCAATTTCATGCTTTTGGCAATCTCCTTTTTGTGTTGTAACATATATAAGGAGAGTTATCAGCCAAGGATGGTTTTTTGTACCTGCATCAGGCCTTTGGGTCATAGGTAACAGCCTATCTGTGTAAGCAAGCCAAACCTAGGCCGGTAACAAATGTTTTACAGACTCCTTTTGCAAATAAACATTGGTGTGTCCATAAGCACTAGAGGCTTATTTCACACCAATTTTAGGTGCACACTCTGGTTGTTTCCAGATGGTTTACAAGGAGAGACTGAGCCAAAACTTGATAGTGCTGCAGACATATTGTGCCTCATGGCTAAAACGTTTTTTTGCTATTAGCAACTCTGATTTACCACCTGGCTGTGCTGGGTGTGAGCTCACAAGCTGAAGGGCTATGATTGCTCTCACCTGAGCGGGGGCTGGGGAATGTTCCTTCAGACCTAATTAAGTGAACTTCCTTTTACTTGCCTGTTAGAGCATGGGAGCCTAAAGACACAAATCCCACAGAAGGGTAGATGCTGGATGAGGTTACTTTATCTTCAAGGCTTTACTTCCTTGGCAGATATGAACAGCCTCTAAAGCTTTTATGAGACTTAACTCTCTCCTATATGGTTAAGTCTGCCTCTCGGTATAAGAGCCAGCATCTATCTTTTTCATGGTGAGGATTATTTTCTTCCAGTCTACAACTGCTCACAGGCTGAGCCGATCCATTCATTGTATCGGCCTAGGTTTGTCTGCCTCACAGGTGTGGGGCCTTTTTACTGATTACTCTGGTTGCAACCTTTGGGTTTCTTGTACATCTCAAAGAGTGTACAGCACCTTCGAAGTCCATGATGAGGGCCTCTTTAGCTAAATTACTACAGCTTTATCTCGCCTGGATAGAAGCTATATGTGTATAAGCATTTAGTGGCTAAGTGAAAGGGCATGCAGCAATAAAAGGCTTTCTCTGGTCTACATCTCTTGCACAGTTTGATGCATATATTGGTAGACAAGCACTTGTATGACTATCCTGTCTGCAAGCTATCCCATTTACCTCTTTAAGGAGAGACTTGACTGGGGGTACTATAGTCATGAGCGTCAGTAGTGTGCATACCTTATGTATTGGTATTATTGTACTGTTTTCAAAATAACCAATGTATTGCTTTAATAAAAGCATCTTTGGTTCATGAGGTAGTTATGGAACTTAGTGTTACGCATACCTCATGTGTTGGTATCACTTTACTGTCGCTGGAATAAACACTTTATTATTTTAGTAAAAGCACCATTTGTTCATGCAGTGGTTAATGAACCTCAATTGGGCATACCTTATGTATTGGTGCTAGTATGCTGTCTCTATGATGACCCATTTACTGCTTTTAGTGAAAGCATCACAGGTTCATGGGGTAGTTATGAATCTCAGTGGTTGCGCATACCTTGTTTATTGGTATTACTATACTGCCGCTGAGATAACCAATTTATTTGCTTTAGTAAAATAATTTTGGTTCAGGAGATGGTTAGGGCCCTCAGCATGTGCATTCCTTATGTTAGAATTACCTACTGTCCCTGAAATGAACCAATTGCGGCTTTAGTGAAAGAATATGGTTCAGGAGACAATCGGGACCCTTTGTATGTGCATACATTATGTTGGTATTACCATACTGTCTCTGAAGTAAACCAATTTCTGCTTTGGTAAAAGAATATGGTTCAGGAGATAGAATGAGACCCTCGGTATGTGCATGCCTTATGTGTTGGTATCACTATACTGCCGCTGCAATGAACACTTTATTGCTTTAGTGAAAGCACCATTGGTTCATTAAATAGTTAATGAATCGCAGTTGGGCATTCCTTTATCGGTGTTCCTATGCTGTCTCTGTGATGACCCATTTACTACTGTTAAGCTGGCCATACACCTTACAATATCTGCAGATTTTCTGTGGTCAGATGGAAAAGGTGCAACAGATTCCTCCATCTACACTTAACTGTGTGGATGGAGTAATCTCCACCTGGGCCAATCTGTTACACTTTTTCCATCTGACCACAGAAAATCTGCAGAATATTGTAAGGTGTATGGGCACCTTAAGTGAGAGCATCACAGGTTCATGGGGTAGTTGTGAATCTCAGTAGTTGCACATACGTTGTTTATTGGTATTACTGTACTGTCGCTGAGATAACCAATTTTTTTGCTTTAGTGAAAAAATCAATGGTTCAGGAGATGGTGGGGTCCCTCGGTATGTGTATACCTTATGTTGGTATTCCCATACTGTGTCTGAAATGAACCAATTACTGCTTTAGTAAAAGGATATTGGTTCAGGAGATGGTGGAGACTTTGCACTATTGCATACCTTAGGTGTTCGTATTGCTATACTGTCTCTTAGACAAACCGATTTATTTTAAGTGGTAGCTATTTTGCTCATGAAGTAGTTATAAATCTCTGTGTTGGGCATACCTAATGTATTGGTATTACTAGGCTGCCTCTAAGATGACCAATTCACTGATTTTATGTAAACATTATCAGTTCATGAGATGGCTTTGAATCTCAGTGTTTGCGCATACCTTATGTATTGGTATTGCTATACTGTCTCTGAATAACTAAATCATCGATTTAGTGGAACCATCACGGTTCATGAAGTGAATCTCTGTCCTGGTGTATACCTTGTGAGCTGGTATTACTATACTGTCTTTGAAATAACCAAACAACTGCTTTAGTGAAGGCATCTTTGGTTCTGGAGGCCGTTACGGATCTCAGTATTTGTACATATCTCATGTGTAGGTATTAATGCACTATCCCCGACATAAGCAATTTATTGCTTCTGTGAGAGTACTAGTACAGGATGGGATTTACCATTTCTTTGTGATGCATCATCAGATATGATGTAGCCAGGAATCGGTAATGGGTTTGTTTCTTAGTTGGTTTGTGTAACTCCCCATCTACAGACTAACCGATCCCATCATGGTAAAAGTATTGTTGGTTGTCACGTAGTTATGAACCTCAGTAACTGTTATCTAATTTCATACCTTGTGTATCTATGTAGCCATAAAGGTACAGGATACCCGATTACCACTTGGTTGAAAGCATTGTTGGTTATGATGTAGTATGACTCTCAGCATCTACATTTCATCAAAGTTCATTCTCTGTGGACTGTGTAACTATACTCTCTACAGAACGACCAGTTTTACTCTTTAGTATCACTGGTTTGGGATATAGTTAGTAATCTTAGCATTGAAATATCCCTGAGTTACTACTTTAGGCAATTGTATAACTTTACAGTACTTAGTTCAGTGCAACCCTAACGGATTACACGTCTGGGGCTGCAACTACACAGTTACAGGCTAACTACTTGGGGATGGTTGGTTAATAGAACACCAAGCCCATGACAAGTAGTATAAAGGGTTGTACCATGATGTCAACACCTTACTTCCCTCCTGCAAACTACTAGTAGGGTCGGTGACGGCTTGGGCATTCTGTAGACTCCTTGCAGCCTATATTTTGTCAACCCTCAACCCCTTAGACGACTTAAGCACTGTTTTTCTGAGTTCTCTGGGCCTCACAAGGTTATTCTTACATGTCTCCCCTCTTTGTCAAGCATCCATGTTATAACCGTAAACTTTGTGACACATTTACAGCAGTTGGCTGCTGCTCGTGTTCCCAACATATAGGATAGTGTCCTTATGTAATTTGGTGGTATCTATGTTACACCACATCGATAAACTGAACATATCAGATAGTGTTCTTACGTACTCAGTGTTGTCTGTTGCCCCCAGTTTATCGATGTGGTGTAAGTTAACCCAGTTGGTAGTACTGATGGCAGTGTAGAGCTGCAGCCAGACTTGCCACTTACATTTTTTTATTCTAACTCTTCCATGAGTAGTAACAAGCTCCCTCATCAAGCTACAGAAGTTGCCAGATGCAACTTGGAAGTCAGTCACCCTTGGAGGAAATCCAAGAATATTTTGGCCTGTTCAGAGCCTTATGAAGACTGTAAAGTGCATAACACCAATGCCTGGTGACTTCAGCTATCCATTGACCTTTCATCCTCCAAAGGATTTATGACATGCTACAAGAGGACGTTAGTCTTCTTGGACCTGGGAGAGCTGAGGTTTCCCCAGAGCATATCTGGAGGAAAGCTGCTAGATCCAGTGCCAACCTCTGGTATTGCACTGCAGAGTGGTCCTCCTCTACTGCTGATGCCAATCTTTTGGCAGGGAGGAGGCGCTTGGAAGTTGTCCCCCCGCCGAAAAAGTATGATTTCTTGCCTAATCTCTCCGATTCTGCCCTGGAAGATGATTTGGGAAAAAGCAAGTTAGTTACCTGGTAACTTCTTTTTCAGGGCAGTAGGGATTCCCGCCCTGCCTGTTGAGGGGTGTGTTCAACATTGTTTGCATTATTACTATCTGGTGGTCCTTCTACCTACGGTTCCTTTGTAATACTGTGGTGGTGGGCAGGGGCGTAACTAGAAATCACGGGGCCCCATAGCAAAATTTTGTATGGGGCCCTGTGATTTCTAGTTACGCCCACCTGATAACCCAAACAGCCCACCTAAGGGTGACCCTGCAGAGCCCACCATAGACTCTCTATGGTAGGCTCTGGAGGGTCTCAGGTGGGCGGTCAAGCCCTCTTACCTGTCAGCCCTGATCCTCTGTCCAGCGAAGCTGCTGGTTGTCACCAACTCGGCAGCGGCTGTGAGAAGGAACGGAGCGTTCATCCTCACAGCCGCCAGTGACAGCCAGCAGCCTGGCTGTCCGAGCAAGATGCCATAGCGACCCAGGCGGCCCGCATGGCATCAGGTAGATGGCCAGGCCGCGCCGTGCCTCGGGCCCCATAGCGGCCGCCTGGGTCGCTATGGTGATTGTTACGCCACTGGTGGTGGGACTGTACCGCCCCTTTTATTTTAATTGTGGATGATGTGTTTCTTGTTTGGGAGGGTGGATTCTCTCTCTCAGATGCTGTCCTGGAAAAGAAGTTACCAGGTACCTAACTTGCTTTTTCTTGTTGCAGGCCGAATAAAGCAGTTAATAGAAATTGGCTACCTCAGCACAGGCAGCATTCGTCTTTTTATTCTTGATGAAGCAGATAAACTTCTAGAAGAAGGGAGCTTCCAGGAACAAATTAAGTAAGGAATTGTACAATTAATTGATTAAAAAAGAAATTCTGTTCCATTTGTATTTTAATGAATGTTGTTTTGTTTTATCAGCTGGATTTATTCATCTCTTCCGGCTAACAAGCAGATGCTGGCAGTTTCAGCCACATACCCACAATCCCTAGCAAGAGCACTGACCACATACATGCGAGAGCCAGTGTTTGTCAGATTGAATACAACTGACCCTGGTCTTATTGGTATGTTAAATGGCAGATACAGAAAAGAAAGTAACATGCATTTGAGTCTGATTTTTTTCCCCCCCAAGTTCTCTTCCAGGATTGTATACGTGAGATAGCTCTGCCTACTAGACAAACACAACCACCAGAACACTTTAAAGAGCAGCCCTCCTCATGGCTGCTTCAGTCCTATGTTTCCTTCATATCGGCAGGCACCTTGACCTGTTACTTTTCTTATGGGTCAGTAGCCAGTGTGTGAAGACTCCTTTCTTGCTCAGGTCATGTAAGGGTTGGGAGCTCTGCAGATCGAAGGCTTGTGCAATGATAAAGTCCATGGTTAAATCTCTACTATTTATACATACTGGACCTTGCCTCCTGATTAGCTTTGGGGTGACACTTGACAGCTAAAAGCTGGACTTTTCTTCCTGATGAGATTTTGTGGTTGACTCCTGACAGCTTCCACTTTTGGCACTTCTCCCTGCATGTGTTGGGGGGGGGTTTGGTAGGGGAGAGACACAATCTAAGCACCAGCAGACCAAGTAGAAGTCACTAGGGTGGTTTCCTCCACCATTACCGTTTTACGCATATACAGTAGCAAACAGTAGCTGCCATCACATATTGTTACAATTCACAGTATCTACTATAGCAATTCTGAAATTTTTATGAAATGTCAGATACTCAGTGCTACGCCAGACGGGTAGATAAGACAGTTTTAGGTCAAGTAGAGCCAGACTTCAAATGTATATTGTTTCTAAATGGTTTTACGAAGGTCAGTTATGACCAGGATACATTTGAACCTGTTGAGGGCATTGCCAGTTTTAGTACATGACAGTTTTACAATGGGGGCTTAATTATAAATCTTTTTGAGGACTTGAAGACTCCTGCTAAGCACTGTTTATGCATTCCAACCTGACCGGTTTGTGAGAGAGGCTGCTTTTAAAAGTGTTCTTGGGGTCGTTTCCTGTCTGTTGGGTGGAGCCATCTCTAATGTATGCTGTCCTGGAAGATTCTTGTAAACTGCATTACCAAGTAAATAACTAATTTTTGTCCTGTATTGCTTTTGTTTTAGGGTTAAAGCAATTTTATAAAGTGGTAAATTCACACCCACTTCCACACAAGACTTTTGAGGAGAAAGTACAACATTTGCAAGAACTATTCAGCAGAGTTCCATTTAACCAAGCTTTAGTGTTCTCTAATCTTCATAGCAGGTACATTATGTTTTCTCTGCTAATATCTGTGAACAAGACGCTGTGTTGTAAAGTATTACATTAAGATTTCTGTTTAATGACCGTGCCAGACTGTGCAATGCAGTAGAGCTCGATTGGCATACTTTGGTGTCCAGCTAACACTGTAAGCTTCTTAATCTGAGAAAGCAGAGCAATGCCTTTTGTGTCAATGTGCTGCTGTTCTGAACTGCAGTGTAGTTTTCATGGATTTTTGAGTCATAGCATCTGGTTATGCAGTGTGGCAGTGGTGCCTGGATCATAAGACTGGGGGAAGGGGAGTGGAAACTGTTGCAGATATACTTTTGAGCACGTAGAGGTCCCTGCACATGCAGTCTTCCAAACCTTCCATTAAATGCTGGGCCATTGTGACATGCAAAGCTCCAACACGTCTAGTTCATAGTATAACTATGATGGGCTGCAACATTAACAAATGGGAATGTTTAAGGCCTGAGATTTGTCTTCATGTTATCGGAGGTTGTTACAGCTACGTTGCAATACCTGAATAGGGAGTTAAGATCCATTTCTGCTTGTGACTTTCAGGTTATGATCCACTCCATTACTTGTGGATTTGAGATAGTCAAAAGTGCCATATAATCACTTGTGTATGGTCAGCTTTTATTCTGGTAAATAACTTGGGAAGATTTTCCTTTTCTAGTTTTAATAGCCATAGTTAGAGATTAGATTACACTGAAAATTATTTGTGGCTATTGTCTACCAAGTCATTTGTTTTTGTTTTCATTGTCCTATAAGGGACACAAAAATTCAGAAACAGTCTGGTAATACTGCTACCTACAACAGGTTGGGACACTGGCAAATAGAAAAAGATTTAAGCCAGCCATTATATAACCCCTTTTCCTAACATGCCAAAATTATTTGCTAGTATCCTAGGTGGTTGGATGCTTTTTTTTTAATTTCTTCTAAAATTTCATCAGTCAAGATTGTAGTTACACCGTAAAATTTTCCCTTGGTGACGTTAATACGGATTCCTACACCACTGCTTGAGCTGGCCTGTACATAGCAGTAATTTAAAGCTCAGCAGTAACTTTGGAGGCTGTACTTCAAAACAGGGCTGAAGTGAATAGACTAACAAGGTTCGGCTCCCTTCACATCGTGTTGGTTATTCACTCGACTGCCTATTACTTTAGAATAAAACTGCATGCACAATATTTTGCCGGCGCGCTGCACTGGAACATACAGCACTGCTGTTCCTTGTGTTCCAGTGCGGGCGATCACACTGTGGGTGGAAGATGCGTTTGGGGTGCCATTGATATGTATAGCACTGCAACGCACCTCCCGCAGCAGAATTTGTCAGACCGAAACGGAAAATTACTTTTTTTCCGTTTTTTTTTTTTATTGTATTGTAAGGTCATAGCGCTAGAATAGTGTCAGCCAGGGAATAACAGCTGCCAGTGGCAAGATTCCGCAGACAGCAGCTGAAAGTACATACAGCAGGTAGTGGGCTGGTGCAATAGCCAGCCTACTATTTGCCATTTCAAATTGCAATATGACTGGCGGTCCACTGCTTGCTGTACCCTCTTGTGTAGCAGAGAGCTAGGGGATCCAACCAACTAATCGATAATGAGATTAGTTAACAACTATTCTCATCGACTATTTGGTTGCAGCCCTATGGTTAAACACCAAAAACACACACTGGTGTTGGCAGGAGCCCTGTTCATCCTTCAGATTCTGTTGTGCACCATTCTGGGTTACGGCATACCCGCCTCCCTGCCTACCCTTTGTGCAGGTGCTACTTGCTCACCCTACTGCCTTCTTTAGGCACACTTCAGGGTTGGTACCCTTGGTTTTCTACCAGGCCTTTTGGGGTTTTTTTTTCCTCCTCTATTCAATGGAATAATATGCTGTGATGGCTCTCGCAACCATTGTTATCTTATTGCAGTATTGGTTGTCTGATTCATGTAACTTTCCCTCGTCAACCTCCTTTTTCCCTGAGTTCCAAGGGCACTGGGTTGATCATCTGTGCCCTCTCCATGGTCGTGGCAGTTCCACTGTTTTGCAGAGGGCCTTCAGATACCTATTTAAATACAGATGGCTTCCAATTTTCCTTTTCGGCTTGACCGTGACTGTTGCCAACCCCTCAGTTGGACTGCTTTTCAATGTCCCCATTGTTACGGAGTTCCTGTGTCCTTCAATGGATATGGAGAAAATACTTTTGGCCCAATGTACAGCTTGCTCAAAGATCTGAAGCATGCTGGGTAGAGGATGGGTATATGGGTTGACTTTTTCCGTTTGCCAGTGTCCCGAACTCCTGTAGGCAGCTGTATAACCTGACTTTCTCAATTCCTTTGTACCTCAGTGGACTCAAAGAAAAAGATTTTACAGTACAAAAATAATTTTTACCGACACAGGTGTTTAATTGAAATGCATATGTTTTACAGAGCTCAACATTTGGCAGACATTCTTACAGCCAAGGGTTTCCCAGCTATATGTATATCAGGTAACTATTTTTCATTTTACCTTTGTTGCAATTTCTTGCTAACATTTAAAGTATAATTGGGTGATTTTTTAAGATGCATGAGGAACGAAGAAGACACTTGAGCTTGGACCGCTGTCTTCTTCTTTTTTTTTTCTTTTACTTTTCTGCCAACATTAGTAGCACTCACCCAGTTCTTAGCCTTTGTACTTCATTCTGTACACTGTTAGAGAAAAACCTCTCCGAAAAGGTAAGAAACCAAGATTTAAAGTATAATTAAAGCCTACGTTTTTTTTTTGCATATATCTACTGCTAGCAAGCAGTAGATATATGCAAAAAGTGTAAAAAATAAATAAAAATAAACGCTATAAAAGAGGTCAATACCTGTATCTTATCCGCACGCTCCCCTCCGAAAATGTGAAAATTATCGGGCGGTCGCAAAGTATCTTGGGGCGGGCACATGCGCAGTTCGTATTTTCGGCCGGGAGACGAGGAGAGACGCAAGGTAAGTCTATGGACGCGTGCACCTGCATGTAGACAACGTGGGACAGGAAGTGCCAGCAAGGACAGGAGTCGGCGCTGGCTCAGAGACCCGCAGCAGCTCTGGAGGGACAGATGAAAATGACAGGAAGGAAGATTAGATTAAGAAACATCATTCAAAGTAAGTGCTTTAATTAACATTGGGGGAGGGAAAAACGTTTTTGACTTTAATGTCACTTTAATTTGTCCTTTTAAAAGTAATGGTGGGTAGGGCAGCTAACATGACAATGCAGACTAAAGTGCAGTGTCATTTTGACAACTATAGCAAGTTGTAAATCTGTTCTGTTGATGACAAAAATAGACCACCTACAAACAGATTTTTATGAGATTGCATCCTCACTACAAAGCCAAGAATTACATTATTTTTCTTTCCACACTTACCAAAGTGAGTGCCTTGGAATTCAGACCAGAGGACACTGAATAATCAGGCACAACAATCTATGAATCCTAAGGCTTTCAGATGGTGTGGTGAGTAGTGGCCCAGCGACATTTGCTGAAACCCTGTTATGCACGCTGTTCCTAACAGTGTGTATTCCAAATTCTAATGGTGGAACAAGCCCAGCAGATGCAGTCCAGGCATAACCTCCAGAGACATCTGCTTAACCTTTCATGATTGAGATTTAATTCTTTTAGCAGGCTAAATGAAAGAGATGAAATTTGAAAAAAAAGCAAAGTTGCGTTTTTTTTTCTTTAGCGCATAAAAGCTTCACTAATCTTTTGGTGCAGTGAGAGCTAAACTGTGAACGCAAAGTATAGCATGAGCTGATCTTTTTTATAAGGTACTGGGTTTCAGTTATAGTGAACTAGATGTTCGCGCTAATATGTAGAGTGCCGCATAAAATTGCCGCCGATTTATAAATACCTGTAATAAATAAATGTGACCAAAAGAACAGTTGTAAAACATTCTATTTATACTGGCTTCTTACGGTTTTCATCTCATCAGACTGGAAACTTTCACTTGCTCCCCAAGGAAGAGAGAGACCACTATCCAAGGGAAAATAAACCGTATCCTCATCATAAACTGTAAGATGACAGATGCCTTTAGAACGGATATACATAAACTGCCTGGTTTAATGTCAAATCAATACTTACCAAACTTGCTAATACCTGTCAGTGTTGGTTCTCCTGCTTGTCAGCATTCCTCATTGTGCGGTAGTCTGGTAGTAAGTTATAGGATTGTGTGGATCTTGCTCTGCTCCCCAGCCTTCAACTCGATCTCTTGCTACCAGAATACAACTTAATGGAGTGGGATGGATTGAAGTAAACTTTTGACTTGTACTGCATAGCCTTCTCCAAATTGATTACTGTTTTAAATGGGAATGACTCCTTTTGGGTTAGGATCCATCTCTGACTTTAATGGGGATGACTGAAAATAGACATAAATCTGCATATAACAAATTTTGTGTTTTTTCAAGATTCTAATCCATTGAATTTTTGACACCTCCGCCCAAATATCAGTAGTTGGACTGACCCCGTTAATAGGCACCTTCCTTATATAAAATTACATATATGTGCTTTGTTATTGTTCAAACTAGTGCAGTTATGACTGTTAATGAATTTCCAAGTGTATCCCCATGCTTAAACATTTGACAGATACCTGTTAAAGTGGTTTGATTTTTTTCCCCCACTGACAGGAAGTATGAACCAAAACCAGAGACTTGATGCAATGTCCAAACTTAAGCAGTATCACTGCCGTGTTCTTATTTCAACCGATCTTGTAAGTATTTTGCCAACTAGCACCAAAGGCTCATTTTGTATTTGACTTTGATGTGAACAGAACATTAAGATGCAGATTAAAGAAAAATATTATCAATTTCTGAAGTAACAAACTGCGTTTTCTGGGTAGGTTAGGACCCAAATGGGAGATACTACTTAATGGGAGATGCAGACCTTTCTGTCGGACACTTAATACATGTGACCATTACATTGAACAATGTGCTATAAAATAAACTTCTTGAGGTCCACAGCATTTACATCTGAAAGTAAAACTTAAAGCAGATTAAAAAAAACGCACAGCTCAGTTGTGTATTACAAATATAATGGCGAAAATTGCCATTTTCTGGCCGATACAGCGGTGCATCCCATTCTTTCTCTCGTCCCCGCTGGGTGCTGCTCTGTGTCCCAGTGGGGAGGAGAGAAACTGTTGCGGGAGCAGAGCGCTGTGAGCGGCCGGCATCTCTCCTCCCCGCACCGCTCAGCCTCCTGTCACAGTTCAGAGGAGAGCAAAGTGGGCGGAGACAGCCAGTGCTGTCGCAAGAGGCTGAGCTCTCCTCCCTGCTTCGCTCGCTCAGTCTCCTGTGACAGCGTGTCGGGAAGGAGAGAGAGTGCAAACACCCAGTGGTCGCTGAGTGTTTGTAAATAATTGAGGACATAGTATGGCTACTAATAGCCTCAATTATGAATGAATGGGAAGTGATGTACATCACCTCCTGTTCATTCATGATTGTGGTTATAGTAAACACACTATGTTCTCATGTTATGAATGAACAGGAACACTCAGAGGATTCCTGTTCATTGATAACAGTGGCTACAGAAAAAGATCGAGGACTTTGTCTTCAATCTCTTTTTTTCTATTTTTAAAGGGAAATATCAGGGGTCTGTTTAGACCCATAATATTTCCCCAAAGCCCCTAAAAGTAAAAAATAAAAATATTTAATGAAAAATTAATAAATATAAAAAAATATATAAAGTTTATAAATAAAAATAAGATATTACAATTTTTTTGGAAAAAGTTAAAATAAACCTTTTCTGTTTACAAATTTTCAATTCAGTGCAGCTCTAACCTCATTAGTTGGCTACTGCACATTTACTGCCCAGTCGAAGGCTGGAAGCAGAAGGATGTCCATGCTTTACTGCTTAAATTGTCTGCCACTTACAAAAAAAAATGAAAAGCTGCTAACATCAAAATAACAATTACCAGCAGCAACCTTCATTGCCCCTTCTGCGCCGCAATGGTGGGCCATTTGGGTAAAACTCCAGCACTTCCTGGTAGTGACGGAAATTGTCTGCTCCCTCTTCAGTACATTCCAATTAGCCCAATGAGGCACGCAGTCTTGGTTATGAGTCATTAGTAGTTTTTTTTTTTTTAAGTGACAGTCACTTAAAGCTCAACTTCTGTTTTTTAAAATTATTTTTGGGTCCTTCCTAGTCCTCTATCTTTAGCGCAGTTAAATGTCTTCTTTCTTTAAATTGCTAAGAAAGCTTCCTCTTTCCTGTGGGCAGCTCAGCTTCTGCTGTAGTTTCAGCCAATCTTGGACACGATTTTAGGCTTTTCCATCAGGTATCAGTCTTGGGTGTTGTGTCTTCACTCCATCTCGGTGCGTTGCCATTCACAAAGCACACCTGGCCGCAGAGTCTTCTCAGGATGAGCTTCGTGAATGGCAAAGCAGAGCAAAGGAGCGGATACACAACATCTGCACGTCAGTGAGACCCGTGTGCTGTCCATGGGAGAGAAAAGGAAGGCTTTTTATACAAGTCTGCTTAAAAAAGGGAAGTCTTTGATCTGGCATGGCTTTTGTAAACCTCTCCCATATATGGGCTTTAACTGTTTGTTTATTTAGCAGTTTGCCTGGTGTCATGATTTATAGAAGAACTCCAGAAATTCCTAGAGGCAGAGCCAGCTGTGCTCGCCCCCTCACTTGTCCGTTCCTCCACTTGGAGCTGGAGGATCGGGGAAGGGGGGGAATCCCTGAGGGCAGCAGTGACTGTCACCACACTGCAGGGAGACTATCAAGAAGTGAGCAGATAGGTGCATTCTCTGCTCACTTCCCGATTGATAGAGCCGACAGCTACTTTGTCATAGGTCAGCTCTAACTATGAGGATGAGTGGAAATCGCTCACCTCATCGTTCTCCTTTTTAACACAACAAGTTTTAGCAGGCTTTCAGCATACTCTGGTTGTATTACTGTTCCTAAAAAACTATTGATGTAGTATCTTGTATCCAGGGGACCCCTGGGAATAGCGTATGCATGCCATTAGGAAGTTATCAAGGGGTAAGCCTTTTCTCTAACTAGACTCTCTCCATGTTGTCCCGTGTCGGAACTTGGATTGATCACCCTTGGCATCGATTTGCCTTTTTTGTGTGTACTCGAACCATGCTGTACACTAGTGCAACCTGTCTTTGTGGTGGTCTGGTGTTTAAAGTGAATATTTGAATGGGATATGCGATTGCGGTCCTGCTTCAATTAAGTAAATGATTGCTCATTGTTATATTGAGTGAGGTGAGGATAGATCTGCTATGGGCCTGGTCAACTTTCTTGTCAGTAGTACCTTCAGTTTATTCTTCTGTCATCTGATGTATGCCCTTATTTGCTCATTTGTTAACAATTCATACTGTTCCAGCTCTTAGTCATTTTCCACTGTTAGCATGTCTGACATTGCCTAAAAGTTCAGCCTTTTTTTTTTTTTACTTGGACTCCTGATGATATAAGGTTCTCCTTTTTTGTCTTTGCAGTATTTCAGTTCAACCTATAAACCTGTCAGTGAAACCTACAAACAATGTGAATTACTAGAACTCTTATTATAAACCAAGTTTTCAGTGTTGCTTACATTACAACTTAGAATTGGATGATTCTCAAAATGTCATCTAATAATGATACTAAACTGATTGAGACGCGTTCCATATTCGAATAAAATAGCTGTTTGCATTTCTGTTTTTTGACTGTTTATATGATACAGTTGCACTTCAATGCTTTATTGTCATTATTTTAAGACTTCACGTGGTATCGATGCAGAGAAGGTGAATTTGGTTGTAAACTTGGATGTGCCACATGACTGGGAGACGTACATGCATCGGATTGGCAGAGCTGGCAGATTTGGTAATTACAGATGACAGCAAACCATTTTCAAAGACCTAATCATGTTTGTAGATGTTGATATGCTATATGCAGAATAGGATTTGTTCCAAGTACCTTAAATGTGGTTACCATTTTTTATATATTTTTTTTTCCTGCCCTATATACATGCTATGGTTCATGTAAATGTGGGTGTCAGATATGCCTTATGATTGCTTGTGACAAATGGGCATATTTATGAAGCGGTGAGTCTGACATGTTATCAAACATTCACTGCAAGTGAGCCTTTAAGGTTCATGGGGTTTTTTTTGTTGGTGTTTTTTTAATTGGCGATTGATTAATTAGTGAATGTTTAGTGAAAATCTCATTCACTGCTTTAGAAATACTGTATATAGTATGGGGGGGGGGTTTATTAAAACTGGAGTAGACAGAATCTGGAGCATTTACCCATAGTAACCGGCTTCTTTCTTCAGTTTGTTCAGTCAAGATTTAAAAAGGAAAGGGAAGTTGATTGGTTATTATGGGCAGCTGCTCCGGTTTTGATAAATCCCCCATATGAATAATATAGAACTCCAGGGAAACATTTTATTATCCCTCGCAGTAAGACTACCCCTGCACTTCAAGGGTTCACTGCTCATTTGTGTCTAGGTGCTAAAAAGTTCTATTCATCCAAGCTGCCGAGCCAACTCCCTGCTTCTGCGGTCACTGAAGCGTGTCTCTTCCTCCACTGCACAGATGGAATGTTCATCAGCATCCTCACGTCTATACACTTGTATAGAAGATAATGATGACAAGAATTCTTAGACCAGTCCCGAGAGCCTCCCTCCTCCTCATCTGCAGTGGTCCAAGAGCAAGGCGGCTCGAATGATCAGGTGAGTATAACATTTTTTGTTTTAGCACCTAGACACAAACAAGCAGTTGACTCTTGCAGTGTTGGGGTAGCCCCACTGCAAGGGCTAATGACATTTTCCCCTGGATTTCTTCTTTAATGTATAACTAATGTGGTATGGGACCAAAGAAGTAAGAAGTGTAGTAAGCTTTTACAAAAAAAAGCCAATAATGTGTGAAACGTGCATCTGTGTCCTAAAACGGTGTGTGTGTCTATCAATAATATTTTGTCTGCTCCTGCAGGTACTTATGGTCTGTCTGTTTCCTATTGTTGTCGAGGAGAAGAAGAAAATCTAATGATGGCAATCGCTCAAAAGTGCAATCTTCACCTGCATCCTCTTCCTGGTAAAAGGGTTTATGCTAATCTTAGACTATTTAATAGTTTATTATAGGAAATAAAAATAAGTAGGATGTGAAGCACACATCTGTGCTTCCTACCCCTTCGGTACATTTGTGGGATCAAACCCTCAAGTTTTCAAGCATTCTCAGGAACAGTGTTTAATTTTGACAGCAAATTTCAATTTAGTCTTAGTTTGTGTTTTAACTGAAATGCCGTTTTAGTCATCTGAATAGTTTTATTCTAATTTTAGTAGACTAAATTGAATGGGTTTATTCAAAGTGTAATGCATTTTTTTAAACAAGTCTCTTTTACTTTCCAAACTCATTGGGGGGAATTTATCAAAACTGGAGCAGACAAAATCTGGAGCAGCTGTGCATGGCAACCAATCAGCGTCTTTCATTTTCAAATCATAACTGGCCAAACTGAAGAGTAGCTAATTGGTTGCCATGCACCGCTGATTTTGTCTGCTCCAGCCTGGATAAATCCCCCCCCCCATTTATGTTTTCCTGGAGTTAACCTCTATATGACTTACGATTGTTGGTCCACATGGTTTACAAAGGGTCTTGTTCTCATTAGCATCGAATGTAAAATGCATCTATACATCTGTTCTTCTTCCTCCCTGATGTTGACATGTCTGTACAGTTTGTGCAGCAATTGTTTGCTAGCTGATGTCCCGCTGGGTAGATCAGTTGGTTATTATTTAGTTGGTCACGTCTCCCTACTACAGAAAGAGCTCAGGGAACTGGAAGCCAAATGCAGTAGTCACTCCCAGAATGTTCGTGTTTTCGTTCCATTAACTTCTCTATTGGTTTTAATTTTGTTTTCATCACTAAAAAAAAAAGTTTTCACTGGCTGTCTGATTAGTCATGAACCCTTTATCCTAGAGGATTAGGGGTATAAAGGTCTTGGGCCTTTGCCTTATAGAACTGATGCTCTTTCTCACCTGTTTTATCCAAAGTTTCCTTTTTTGGACTTGTGCTTTCTAATGATTGTTCCCAGTTTTCTGTGGGTGTTGCTGAGCCCTCAATTTAACTGCTTTTGGACATCCTGACTGTTTTCTGAATTCCTGTTTCCCTCAGTGGACTAGAAAAAAAAAAGAAAGGATTTTTGGACTCATTGTAAAATCATTTTCTTTCCCGTTCATTGACAGACACAGGGAACAGATCGGAGATCATGCACTGTAGGGTAATATCGCCACCTGCAGGAGAAGGACGCTAGGCACAAAAAAACTAAAGACCAATTACAGCCTAGGGGCGGCCCCTGCCGGTAGCCAAACCCCCCACCTGCTGACAAGTCTCCAGTTTATAGCTTCCAACGCCTTCGTTCGCACTTTTGTGCAGGGGGTCACACGTATCGTTCCCCCTGTTCGCTCCCCGTTGCCGCCGTGGGATTTGAATCTGGTGCTCTCAGTATTGCAGGAATGTCCCTTTGAGCCTCTGCGGGACATACCGATTCTGACTCGCTCTCAAAAAGTGGCCTTTTTGGTGGCGGTCACCTCGATCCGCAGGGTTTCGGAATAGGCGGTTCTCTCTTGCTCGTCCCCCTTGCTGGTCCTGCATCGGAACAAGGTGGTTCTGCGGCCTCGGCCGTCTTTCTTGCCGAAGGTGGTTTCGGCTTTCCATCTCAATGAGGACATTGTCCTGCCTTCCTTGTGTCCGAAGCCTGTCCACAGGAAGGAGAGGGCACTGCACTGTCTGGACGTTGTCCGCGCCATCCGGGTTTACCTAAGTGCTACGGCTGCGTTTCGGGAATCGGATTCCCTGTTTGTCGTTGCAGATGGCCCCCGGAGGGGCCGGGCTGCCTCGTCGGCTACCATCTCTCGATGGATTCGCGACACGATCTCTCAGGCGTATGCTATTAAGGGGCGTGAGCCTCCTTTTTCTGTTACGGCCCATTCTACAAGGGCTGTTGGGGCATCTTGGGCTTTTCGCCATGGTGCCTCCGTTTCTCAGGTTTGTAAGGCCGCGACTTGGTCTTCTGTTCACACCTTTGCCAAGTTTTATAAGGTGGATGTTTTGGCATCTGCGGATGCTGGTTTGGGGCGCAAAGTGTTGCAGGCGGCCGTTTGAGGGAATTTTTTTGTTTAGTTGGGTTTGTTGTTTCTGTTGGCCCACCCCTCTTTTTTGGTACTGCTCTGTGACGTCCCTACAGTACATGATCTCCGATCTGTTCCCTGTGTCCTTCAATGAACGGAGAGAAAAGGATTTTACGGTGAGTACCAAAATCCTATTTTCTTGGAGTCATTGAGGGACACGGGTCCCACCCATCTGTGTTTATGTCCATGCCCTTCTACTGCTTGCTACAAACTGAGGCATACTGGGTAGAGGCGAGGTTATGCTGGAGGATACTTTTTTTTTTGCAAATGTTCAGTCCTCCTGTAGTCAGCAGCATAACATAACTATCTGAATTACTCTCTGCCTCGATGGACTCCACGAAAAGGATGAGTAAAAAAAAATCTATTTTCTTTAGGTCATTGGAGGACACAGGTTTGATTTTAGGTGTTGGCCAACCAGGTATATCGCTGCTTGCAGGAATTGGACACTGGGCATATTAAAGAAAAAAAAAAGTCCAGAGAGTGGCCCCGCCTTTGGCTCAAAACTCCATGCACATCTGTGGGCAACTCCGTTACATGACAAAGCAGTGCAAAGAACAAGAACAATCTTTTTTACACATATGGGCAGCAGCACACCAGAGAGGGTGGTTGCTTTGTTCTATTGACACAAAGAAAAGGATTTTTTTTCTTTTGATCACACAGCTCTTTAGATAATCACTAACTGGCCTATATTTTGAAAGTTTGTAAGGCAGCTACTTGATGATCCATTCATACATTCACCTTGCTGATGCCAGTTTTGGACATATTGTTTTTCAGGCAGAGATTTGACAGGTCTGCATAATTTTCAGTTAATTTCCATTCCAATGTTTCTCTCCCCCATTATGGCACTACTTTGGGGCATTCTAGTTGGTGATTAAATTAAGCCCATGTCCTCTAATAAAAGAAAATGGTCTTTTTTTTTTTTTTATGCCCCTCATAAAATCCTTTCCATTGGAGAACACAGCACCCACCCCTCTGGCTTGCTGTTGCCTGTATTTGTAAATACATTTGTTGTTTGTACTGCTATGCCATGTAACCAAGTTGTCTACAGTTGAGGAAGAGGTTTGGGGCCACCCCCTGGGCTGTGTTTTTTTTTTTGTGCACCTAGTTTCTTACTCCTGCATGTAGTGGTATATGATTATCGAAAGCAGAGAGATGTCCTCTAATGAACGCAGAGAAAATAATTTTACAGCGAGTACAAAAATTCCTATTTTGGGGATTTGTGATGGAATGAGACATGTAGATTCTTTCTGTTAAAAAAATAAAAAGGCAACTGTTTTTTGTTTCTAAATTAAACACATTTTCTTTCTCTGTACATGTTGTGTAGCTTCCATGCCTTATAAATTTGAGTATAAATATTGTGTTGAAGAAAGATCACTTTGATAAGTAACATAAATTATATTCTTGTACAGATCCAATTCCAGATGGATTGATGGAGGAGGCCTGTGACTGGGATATTGAAGTTACTCCATTGAAGGACACATCTGATCATTTAACTGCAAAATGTATACCTTCTCAAGCTAAACAAGATGATATGGTAAAAAGTCATCCTTATCCAGAACACTCCATGAACAGAACAGTTTCAAAAGCTGTTAAGTGTAAGCCTAAAAAGGCTGTCAAAAAGAAGACTACAGAGGGAGCCAGCTTAGAAGGGCTATCAAATTTAGATACTTCTGGTTTACAGAAGAAACCGAAAGATACCTGTAAGCCTACAGAAACGGTGGAGAACATGGGGATTGACAATGGAGTACAGGACATTCTTGAAAGTTCTCTACCACAAATTCCAAGCTTATCCTCTTTCAAGCGTCCTGTTGTTTGCACGTCATCATTTGCTGAGCTTGTTGAAGACTATGAGCAGTTTATTAAAGAAGGACTTGAAAAACACGTAGAAATTATACGCGTGTACACGGGTAGTGGAAGCCATACAAACAGTCAAACCACCGAAACCCTGGAAGAAGAAAGTAATGTAGTCATGCTTTCAGATAGGGCTGGTACCTTAGAAATACATGAGTTTAGTGGGAATACAGATGCGATGACTGAAAGTAGTTCATACAGTTCTTTGTCAGGAAGTGATAGTGAAGCATCTACTCGTTCAGATGGGAATCTGAGGTCTATGGAACTTTCAAGTTCTTGCCCAGATCTCTGCACTGAAAGGACAGATGAAGCTGACGTTGGCCAATTAAATGTAAAAGGTTTCAATGCATCCCTAGAGGAGGTGCATCAGTCAAGCTTAGTCAAAGCTAAAACTGATTATGTTGAGGAGCCAGTTTTCAGCAATGTAATAAAGCCTAGAAAACGAAGCAAAAAAGTAACTCCTATTTCCAGTAGAGAGCTTTGCCAGGAAACTCGGGATGATATGTACCAATTGGACTATGGAAATCCATCTGGGTTTCCTTATGGCACAATGAGGTATGCTGATTATTGGCGATCATATTATCATGCATGGCAAACCTACAACTCTGCCATTTCTAGTTCCTATTACAGAAAAATGTACAAATGCTCCAACTGGATGTCTGCATATCACATGCACTCTGTCTACCTTCATGAAATGCTCAAGCCGTGATTAGTTTCCTTATTGCCACAGTAAAAAAGCCATTTTTATAATGGACTGGTTTATTTTTCTTTTACTCTATAGTTCACCAGATAATCATTTGTACATATAGTGTATGTGTATATATATTTTTGCTGAATAAATCATCTAGCATCATTCATATGTGCATGTTTAAGCTGATGGTTAATTTCCATGATTTATATAAAGGAAATAGTTGATAAACTCAGGTCTGCTTTACAAGGTATTCAGTATTAAATACAACTTGGGCATTATATAGTAGTACAACTCTGTTTCATATGTTTTCAGATTTCTTAAAATGCAGATGTTAATCATTCTTGAGTAACACCTCGGATCAGTAGTTTCAAGCTCCTCTATGGCACGAGTCAGCAGTTTGTCCTTCTGGAAAAAAGGATATTGTGTGTGCGCGCGCGAGTGTGTTTCATAAAAATATAGTTGTTTTTTGTTTCTACTAAACATGCATGTATGGTTCATGAATGGGATCACCACACCTATATTTTCATCCAGCGATAGAGCTCTACAGCTGGCCATACTTTTACATTATCTGCAGGTTTTCTATGGTCAGATGGAAAAAGTGCAACAGATTCCTCCGTCTACATTAATCTGTGTGGATGGAGGAATGTTCCACTGGGCCAAGCTTCAGTATCTTGTTATTCGGCCCCACTGGCTCTCAAAACACCTGAACAGTGCCTGCATCCAATCAGATTGTTCAGGTATTTTGACAACCAGCGGGGCCAACTAGCAAGATACTGAAGCTTGGCCCAGCGGGATAGTCCTCCATCCACACAGTTTAGGCTAGTTGGAGGAATCTGTTGCACATTTTCCATCTGACCATAGACAATCTGCAGATGTTCTATAGGTGTATGGTCAGCTTAAAGCTCACCACACGTGTTACAATCTGATGGTAGATCTAAAGGAGATTGTACAGTGTATGTAGCGCAAGGGCCTGTCTGATTGGATGCAGATTGATTGGATGGATTAGGTATGCCCTCATATTACATAGATTTGTTAATTCTAAAATTGATCATACAAAAAAAATGTATGGTCAGATTTTAGTAGGTGTGACCGTGACATTGTCATTCCAACAGTAGTTAAAATACTAGGACCAGATGACAATCATATGAATTCTACAATACCTTACTAGGATCTCCAGTTCAAAAAATTATCCTCATACAGTCATCATATCATTGTTTACTGTAACACCTAAATTTCTATGTAGCCAGTCCTTGGGTTTGTCATTACTCTTAAGCCTGAGGTGTACACAATTTTGCTGGTCCCTTAGACAGCCACTCATGTTTTCCAGCTACATCCTCATTTTGACAGCTTGTTTCAAGTATTTCTCTTCTGTTAGCCTGGTTTGAGGTTTCATCCTGTAGGCAGAGAATAATGTGATTTTGATAATCGTGGTAATGGACGACATTACAGGTAGCATTAAGTTAGGTTCAATATTTCCAAAAGATCTTTGGGCTCTTCCTCTTAATCATTTGAAATGTTGAGTGTATTTTCTTACAGCCATTTTCAGCTAGGCAGCCTGATAACTTGTTGACAGTGGGATTACTTGGAGCATATCTTCCACCAGAATATTTTTTTGTGTACAGAGAATAAGACCTGGTGCGGTGGGTTTAATTTCTGAATAAATAGTGTGGGGTGAGAATTTCTGAATAATGGGTGCATCACGTTTTGTCATTTTAACTGCATAGACCTTTATCCTCAATTACATCTGTTTCTGGTCCATTGATGGACACAGGAAATCTTTCACCTTTTGTGGAAAACTTCTGCCTACAGGAGGATTGGACACTGCCAAAAAAAAGTAGTACACCCCAGGATAGCCCCTCCTACTACCAACATTCCTCTGGTAGCTCAGCTCTGCTGTGTAAAGACCAACCTATTTTTACTAGCATGATTTTTTTTTTCTCCATGTTTTTTGTTCAACTAAAATACATTGATGGACTTGGTCTTAAAAATTGCTGCTATGCGCAGCTGTCCTCCGACTGGCTTTTGAGGTGTTTCATCTGGACATTGTGAAAACAGGCAGGAAGTGAGATTTGGGTTCTATCTGGGACACTTTTATGCTGTTCTGGTAACAAGCTAGCCAGATCTGGAGCCACTGGAATTGCCTCAGTGCTTGCCATGTCTCCTAAATGGCTTACTCGTGAAGTGGGTGTCTTCAAACTGAGCAGAGAGCTACCTTATTTATGCAGGGGGCTTTATCCCTTCTGATGTCATCGACATGTAATGCGTTGGGTTGTTAAACAGCCAGAAGTGTTTACCTTTTTTCAGCTGACTGTTGGCTTTATGGTGGAAGTGATTCACTTACACCCCGCCCCCACCTGACTTGTCAGCCCCCTATGTCATAACCAAAAAAAAGAGCTGTTGGCTCCCCAAAATACTTTTTCTACAAATGACGACAATCTCAACTGTGGATCTAGAATGCCTAAGTGCATTATCAAGGATGCTGCTGGTGGAAGAGCTCTACAACACAACATATTGGCATTTTTGTTAAAGTAAAGTGTGTCCCTGGGCAGACTGATTAGTTTGGCACAGAGCCTGTTTTGCAGGTAGGGGATACCTGATGTTGATCCAGGAGGTCCACAACCTCCTGGTATTCCTCTAGGCATCGTCTCGCAGAAGCCGTTGGTGCCCTGGTGGTTCTGTGGGTAAGTACTCACTGATCAAGATGGAGTAGTCTGTCGATCCCAATTTCTCTGGACTTGTCCAGGCAGATGTATGCCAACCTGGTAAGACTCCTGGTGGGGGCTTTGCGGGCTTCACCAGATTGGATCTTCTGTCTCAAGGACTAATTCACTATCTTGCTTCATGGTCACTGGCTTAATGGTATGGCTGAATCCCAGGTTCTGAGTTACTGCCTTACATAAAGTGGAGTATGACTCACTTTATATAAGTCTTGGGCTTTGACCCTAGGAGTTTCTCTGTTTGTATAAATCCTCTCCTTCCTAAAGCTGGGTATGAACTAGTGTTTTGGCTCTCGGCACTATCAAAGTTAAGTTTTCCTTCCTAGTTGCAGAGAACATTAGCCTCTCGCTCAATGAATACCCTCTTTGTTGATCCCTATTATTTCTCTGTGACTCCATGGGATCTCAATTTGGTTTTCTGTGCAAACCGCTGTTTGAACCCCTTGGATATATTCCTCTCGCCCACAAGTAGGTATTCCTTGTAGCCATCACCTCTGTAAGGTAAGAGTGAGTTTGCTGCCTTAGGGGTGTGTGGCGGGGCATTGAAGTCAATGGCACCCCGCAGCGACACACCCTCGCCCACAGTGCGATCGAACACGTGGCAAAACATTGCCTGCGTTCCGGGGTCCAGTGAGAACGCAAACAATGCAGCATTTGTTTGGTGCTTGCAATGGAAAGCAGGCAAAGTTTTGCCAAGCGGCCAAATGCACTGCGGCCGGGGGGTGTGTGGCTGCGGTGCCATTGCCTTTAATACCACGCCCTCTCCTGCCCCAGAACGATGGGGGTGGGGGGAGTTTAGTGTAGACTACAGTGTGTTCCAGCAGCTACCGCTCTTTAATACGCCGCAATTGGTGTGAATTGGCTCTTATCCTACAAGGAACTTTTTTTTTTTCAGGTTTTGCATAGAGACATGGTGGTGTTGAAACCGAGGACTTTCTCCTTGCCACAAGTACTTTCTGCTTTTCACCTCCAACAGGACATAGTTTGTCCCTCTGCCCGGCACCAGGTTGATGTAGAAGAGATGGTTACCAGCACATTTGGGGTCCACTTTATGGTTCCCTCTCTACGGATGGTTGATAAACCTGTATCACAGGGAAATGCAATGTTTCAGAACCACATGTGGTTCCTATATCAGGCACACTGTTCTTCCTGATGAAGAAAGCACCACACGTGGTTCTGAAAATGTTGCAAGAAAGGGATTTTACAGTGCGTAAAAATTAGATTGTATCAAACAAAACATTTTATACACTTCTAAGTAGTTGAACAGGGTTGTATTGGAGGCAGTATTTGTAGTTTCAATTCCTGTTTTTTGTTTTTTTTTTAGGAGGCTATCAGTATTTGAGAAGTTTCTATTCTGAACACATTGTACCCCTTTAGAGATTAATGTGTTTTTCGTTTTGTTTACATGACTCTGATTTATCTAGTTTCAAAACCAACCTACCCGTAGGTTATTATAACAATGCTGTTACTTCTGATTTATTTGCACGGGCTATAGATAGGATAGGGGAATACCAACAAGTAAGAAACAGATTTCATACCAAATACAGAAATATATACAAAGAATACATAAATTTCTTGATTTAAAAAAAAAAATCAGTTGAAAATGGAATCTGATTTATTATTGTAAGTCACTTTCTGTAATTTAGGAATAATAAATACTAAAAAGAAAAGTGTGCCCATGGCATAAACAATTTGATGTGCAAATGTTTTTGTGGCTTTTTGCTTAATCTGTTAATATTTTATTTTTTTTTACAAAATATATGGTGCTCTTCAAAGACAGTATTTGTGAAAAAGAATGCTTAATAAAGTGAAAGCTACATTAACTTGTTTTGAACCATACATTATTTAAAAAAAAAAAAAAAAATAGAATGTTTGATGGTTTTTACTATTCCTTCGGTCTAATTATAGCTATTGAGGATTTCCATGTGTGCTGAAAAATTCTAGATCTTTCCCACGGAGAGAGAAACTTTGAGATCTCTCTCCCACTTATCAAAGAACTCCAAGGGCCTCGCCACATTAAAATATAGCAATAGTTTATCGCAAAACAAGAGTATGACGCATCGACCCGGAATTCCAACCTTCCCACTTAAAAGTCAAAAGAGGGCGAGCAAACCTAGACACGGGGAAGTGATGAGAAGTGAGCTAGTTGGCGAAGTCTTGCCCAAAAGGGCAAGTATAGGATCATCTGCCATGTCTGTCAACGAGGGCCAATGGGCTGTACTAAAAGTGATAGGCCTGATAGTTATTCTGCTGTCTTATGCTAAGAAAAACCTGGTGCTGACTCCTGACTCAAAGGGTATGCAAAACAATTGGAAATGGGGAGAAGGTTTGTTCTAGTAGAACCCACAATTTAAACTCATGC